AAAAGCAATTTTGTGTTGTGTTTTGATTTCTTAAAGGGGTAGAATGTATGTTTTTCCCTCACCAACGTGAAACACGAAATCATTTTCCTCTTCATTCTGTGGCGATATTTAGGCTTATTACTGTACTTTACAAAATCGAATTCAGCATTGCTGAGTTTGATGTATTTTGCAGCAATGAGTGACGCGAGCGCTTGCAGACAAACTGCAAGACGTGCAATTCAAAGAGGCACTAGTCCTTCATACAGCCTCTTGAGCATCGAAGGAGAAAGCTGCTGAAGTATCTGGGAGAATACGTGCACAGCTAGATTTGACAGGGAATACCCTCATTTAAATGTCTCTCTACCTAAAGTGCGTACATTTCCGGAAGGTGCGTAATTGACGCAATGAAGTTGAGGGGAGATTCTGTGCAGCCAAAAAAAGTGCAGCAGCACACCTTTAAATTACACAGGATCACCAACCAATCTGAAAGTAACAGCTACTTCTTGGTCACTGTGGCATGTGGAAGTCATACAATTGACGTGGGATTTTCAACTTCAACATCACCCAGAGAAGACAGGCAACGCCACCAAGCAAAATATTGAGGCACCAGTACCATGAACAAGGCACTCAGGTTTGTGTTACAGAAAAGTTTGCATGAGACGCGATTTTGATACAAAAATACATACGTTTATTTTCAAAAAATAAGTTATAAAATACCATTCACACAGGGAATATGAAATCATGATCATCTTGTGTCTTCAGCAGGTGGCAGACGAGAGCCTACCCATTCAGTGTGCACACCTACTGCCAGTGTTAGCCAAGTATTTAAGGACTGATAGGCTCCCTACTACTAGTCGGATTATTGACCTTGTTGCTGCTTGCTCAGGTGTTGGTTTTCTAGACCTCTCGCTCTCGTCATAGTCATTCTTGTTCCCTTGGTTCCACGTTTTTGTAAGTATAGTCTTTGTTTAGTCATTTGATCTTGTTTGTTTTGTTGTGTGAATTGGACTCTGTCATTTCGTTTGGTATTCTCGGTTTAACTATTTCCTTGCCTTGTGCAAGCGCTTTTTGTTAATGTACTGTTTTTCCTGTTTTTGTTGACCAGCGGTTTCTGTTTATAGTTTGTGGGTGTGCTTTTGTTCTTGTAAATAAATACAGTATTTTTGTTACGGAATTTTGTTTGGTGTCTATGTTTGTGGGATCAGATCGCTATTGAGTTCGTTCCGGACTGTCACAAGTACAAACCAAAAAGGGGGACTTGAAGTTTAAAAGCAAATGCACAAAATTGAAATTAACCACAGAACTCAATTGATGAAATACAACCATATGACCCATTTATCACCATCCAGTCCACACATTCACCCCCGATGCCCATCGGCAAAATCAGGAGTGTCAAGGCCAGTGGGAGTCACCGGTCTTGCGGTGGGGCTACGCCGAAGCACAGTAATGTCAGGCCAGGCAGAGTAAAGCCAGGCAGCATACAGTCAAACTGTGCAGAGCACAGCGACTAAAAAGCAGCAGTGTATTTGATCCGGTCAGTGCCTAACAGCGGGTAAAAATAAATCTGTATGGATATACTGTAAATCCTTTCATGTTGAGGATATAATGCAGGCCACTATGGGGGAGTTGTACATACCGCCAGGCATATGAGATCACCCATGGGAGAGAGGCAAGAGGAGCTTCCGTATGCTAGTATGATTAAACGTCAGCTCAGCATAGATTGTCTGTGTATCAAACACCGAACTGTAAAGAAGACGAGTAGTCAATGCATTGACATTAGAATTTGTGAATGGTCCGACAAGTGGAGGCAGCCACCGCCATATTACCTGCAGCAGTGTAACGATGGAGAAATTTAGCCAATCAGGAATTTGGCGGGACCTGAGAGGCAAGGAGCAAGAGGATAATCAGGCAGCCGGTGCTTGTATTTACAGTGTGATCTCATATGCTGATTGGCTTGGCAGCATCCTTGTAATTAGCAGAGATGACAGCTCATCCTGCTACATTACTGATTAATGCGAAGGACTACCAGTTTGATACACACCTCAAAAGAAATTTACCTTTCATTATGTTACTATTAAAAGTGATATTCACATATATCGGTGAAGACAATGATCATTTTTGTTCATGATTAAACAAGGTCGAAAATCGATAAATGCCAGTCTACAGCAGTACTATTATTTGTAGAAATCTGTGAAAGTCTTTACATTGTCAAATGATAATTTCTACAGCATAACAAGGGAATCTCAGTGTCCCATCGTTTTTTTCCCCTCTTTCAGAACATGTCTGCGGGCTCCATAAGGTTCTTCGGGGCTACCTGTGCCCACCTGCCCATAGGAAAATACGCGCACCGCTAAATTTGACATGAAGGTGCCTAAGTGAGACTTTTAGTTCAATGCTGGAATCTGCGCAGCCATGAAACGTGCGCAGCAGCACGCCTTTTCTGTCTTAAGCACACAAGAGAATACAGTCCGCTCCTTATTGAACTACTTGAACTACTACTGATTACAAAGAAGAAAGTGGATGAAATTAAAGGACCGCGTGTTCGACTGGCAAATTTGTCTGAGACCTTCATTCATCAATCATGCAGCACGTCAATTACTTCATTTCAGTGCGGGATCGCAATGGCTTCAAGCTTTCGGCTTGGCCTGTACATGCCGCATGCACCCAAGAAATTAAGTCAAAATGCATTCTACACTTCTGACAGTAGGTGTCAGAAGAGGGCTGGCAAACTTTTTTTCAGATATTTCCATGCTGTCACGTGTCGTTTTTCTCTCCGCGGTTAAATCATCTATCTATCTATCTATCTATCTATCTATCTATCTATCTATCTATCTATCTATCTATCTATCTATCTATCTATCTATCTATCTATCTATCTATCTAATCTGTTTCATTTCGACCTTAAATATCAAAAATAAATTAAATAAGAGGCTAACGCCAAAGTGATGCTGTACCTATACGACTTCCTCTTTCCGCCACTCGGTGTCAGCACAAGCCCTCAGAGAGAACATCCACCCTGTTGCGATCGTCGTCTGAGGGCTTGAGACATTAAATGCATTTTGCTGATGTGGTTTTCGTGTATTTATTTCCACAGACAGGCGGGATTAAATGTGATATATATACAAGAAATTTCCAAGTGGAAGTGCAACAAAAATTGGGGTTTGAGAGTGAAAAAGCTGCAGTTGCACGTGGACGGCGGCATCTCAAGTCCGTCAGCTCTGTTGCGCATATTTTGAAAGTCTGTTTCGATTACTCTTTAAAAATATACTAGAATGAAGACAACTGCTAATATGATTTTAATTATATTTAATTATATTTAATTTTATTTCGCTCCAACCTGATCCTGTATTATAAAAAGCTACTATACTAACACTGAAATATTCAATTTTTGTCTCTACAAAATGGGAGACACGAAGCAAGACTATTTTGTTTTACTTTTTTAGCGATGCCAACGACATGACTTTCACCAGAACAATTAGTGTATAATGTTGAATAGCCTATGAAAGTTATGTATTTTTAAATGTTTGACAACTTGTCGGACTGGGTGTAAGCGTCATAAATAAAAGCACAGCATTATTGTTAATTTGAGACACGGCCATTTCACAAAGACCGCTAGGTTTCTTCCCCCTCCCCGTGTGTGTGGGTATATGTGCAGTATATAGGCTACTCGATAAAAGCGAGGCTGAAGTCCGTCCGTGCATTTATCATCCTATTACGGCGACAAATCTGACTCCCAATACATGAGAGCTAAAATGAATTACCAACGTGAAGCCGTCAATAAAGTCATTTCTGTAAATGGTGTCTCTGAGGGGCCCGGCTATTATTCAACCAGCTTTATCAGCACCTTGGAAATGACGTGGCTTGTAACGCGGGCCCCTGCTTCACTTTGATTAAGGGCCCTGCCAGGGACCGGTGACAGCGCTTTTCACTGGGCTTTTATTCAGCCCTTTGCCGGTGATGAACACCGGCCCGATCGGGCGGAATGAAGACTAATTAAAAGCAATAAATTATCTTTTGCAGGCCCTCTCAAGCAGCCCCTCTTTGCAGCACAAGATAAGAGCAGACTGAGCGCTCATTTGCGCACAAAAGGTGCTGCGGCTAAACAGCATACTGATACTGTCCTAATTGGAATTTAATTAAGTAGCCACGGCTTCCGACTCCGGCCTGTGGGATAAAGATTTCATTGCGTTAAACATCAACACGTCCGCGCTTTCATGCTATTATGATTATTAATAATGTTATTATTCCAAATCGCCAATTAGTGCGTGAAAGCAACTTTTGCTCGGACATTTTGAGACCACCATCGAAGCTATAAGATTGCTGTTTCAGGGCTTCTCCGTCTGTAAACATTACCTTGACCTCTTCCTGGTATTTTTCATACAGGATGATAACAATTGTATTCTAGCTCAAATTTATCACCGTTATTTTTTAAATACATTTTCTGTGATTTCATATGAAAACTGAGCTTTCGCTAACTTGTGAATGTTTCAACGTGTTATTTCTTTAACCCCGATGTGGAACTATGCATTGGACTCCATATGTGATGAAGTTTTTTTTTTTTGTTTTTTTTTTTGGTAATCATTTTATATTAGATATCCTGATGTCACTATGTATGTAGGCCTGTATATTTATTTCTGTATTTGAGTTTTTGTTGTTTAAAATGTTACTTGTCTCGTTTTTTTTCCTTTTGCACTTTTTATATGGTCTATTTCACTGGCAATAGTGGATGACTTTTTACTATTGCCATGCATGAGTGCATTGGAAATGTTGTCAGGTGGCTTGCAGACCAGGTGCTAAGTTCGTTGTTTATGTTTTTACTGCATATGTGCTGTGGAAGTGCGCCGTGAGCTGCCTGCTGCTGTGTGCTCAAGGCTCGCAGGCGCGTGTCCGCGCTCGCTTGATTGCTGCGCTCCGATTGGACGTGGCGCGTTGAGACAGGGACGGTCTCGAAACGCCATTGGTGGGCCTCACGCGCGTACTTGCCCTCGTGCCGCAGCTGGGTTGTAAGAGGCAGACCGGAACCGGAGAAGGACGACAGCGCTTTGGGGAGAGTCCACACATATTTGCCTGCAGTGGGCCGAGGCGGCCAGTGTTTTGAACGCGGAGCTAGTCGCTCGCTATGCCATCTCTTGGAAAATTATTCAGTGAAGGCATGTCGTCGTTGCGGCTCATGCTTTGAACTTATTCGATTGGCTTCCCTCGGGCCCCAAAGGTTTATTTGATTTTTTTTTTTTTACATGCGGCGCGACTAAATTGGATAACAAAGGGGCGGAAGCGCAACAAGTGGAGTGTGTGTCGAGGAGAGGCCGACATTTGTCAGCGTCGCTAGCCATGGAAGAGCAAAAGGAGCCCACCAGCGGCAGGGACTCGACCGAGGACGAGAGCGTGTCGCTGTCACCGAACCTGCCATCCCCTCCCATTATCCTCCCGCACCAGGCCGCCCAGCAGGCTCACAGAAACACCAACTTTTTTATCGACAACATCCTGCGGCCAGACTTCGGCTGCAAAAAGGAGCCGGGCTACCGCGAGCGCAACCAGACGGCGGGCAGAGAAAACATCAACCCGCTAGCGGCGAGGCCGCACGCCGGCAGCCTCTGCTTGGACTCGAACTGCAGCAGCGACAGCGCCTCGTCGTCGCCGTCTTCGTCGTCGTCTTCGTCGCCCTCATCCAAGCAGAGCTCGGCCAAACAAGTAGAAGCGGCGAGCAACGGCAGCGGCAGACTTGCTGACAGCCCCTCGGCCATCGTGGTGATGAACGGCGGCAATGGAGCGTCTGTGCCCACAGCCAAGGACCAGCAGCCCATGCTGTGGCCAGCCTGGGTGTACTGTACGCGCTACTCGGACCGGCCCTCATCTGGTAAGGCGCTGAAAGCCCCCCAGCGGCAACACATTATTGACCAATTGTTCGTCACGAGATTTTTATTTGACCGCACGGCACTATGCTGTCATTGCGTTGGGAAAACAGTAATTTCTGTGCCCGCAATGTTACATTACTGACCCAAACTTGCTGCAAATCTGTGACCTTAACTCGGCCCATCACAACACACCAAGCATGTTTCATTCAAGTAGGAATTGCATATTAAAGGACGCGTACACTCAAACTCTGCCTTTAAATCGTATTTGTCAACACCATAATGCAGCTCTCGTGTCGCAATTTTCTTGCGTTGATTTACTCATTTTTAAAAAAATGGAACTAGTGCGCGGTTTAAATTATGATTCGTATCATTGACTATTGTGCACAATAATACACTCATTTTATATAATTATAATACAATTATTTTAAAAGAATATAAAGCCATTGACAATTATTGTTCTTGTATCCGAGCAGCACCATCTCAAAAATTAAATCAACAACAGAATTTTTATACGAGTTATTTAGTTTTGTGTGAAGCTGTGTTGACTATTTTTTACGAAATATACCAAACTTACAAAATAAAAAAAAAACGTTTATTTACATCGCGCGGTTATACAGGAGGTCTGCTGTTTTTCCGAATGAAATACCCCAACCAAAAAAAAAAGCCATTTAAAAAATATATCCTACTGTAATTTACATTCCAATCGCAGTGTTTACGTCAATTTCGAGAGTATACGCGCGTTTTCGGTGAAGGCTTTCTGTCCCCCCCCCCCCCCCACACCCCTTTTGTCCATTTGTGGTTTGACGATATTATCAATGGGTGACAGGTCATTTTTGTTAATATTTGTATTTTTCCCCGATTTGTTCAGATTTATTCAACAAGAAAAAAACTGAAATGTGACCGTCGTGAATTGTTAGCGCAGGCAGGCAAAGCGCAGTCGGATTCTTAATTGCAGTGCGGAAGCAGCATTGCTCCTTAACAATCCAAGTCCTTCGGATGGCAATCGGTCGTTTTATTTTGCACTCGACTTGAACAACCACCACGGGAGCGCTTTCATGCCAAGGGGCCTTTCCGAGTGGACGTGAAGAGGAGCTGCGTTCTGACACACGGGAATGCTCGCGCCCTCTCCGCCGGCTCCCCGTCCGCTTTGGCGGCTCTCCTTCACACACGGCTCTCTCGGATGACACGTGGATATTTGTGGATATTTACGTGTGCGTGCCATTGTTGTTTCCACACCAGGGCCGAGGACACGCAAACTGAAGAAGAAGAAGAGCAGCAAGGAGGACAAGCGGCCCAGGACGGCTTTCACGGCCGAGCAGCTGCAGAGACTGAAAGCCGAATTCCAGGCCAACCGCTACATCACGGAGCAACGAAGACAGTCGCTGGCCCAGGAACTCAACCTGAACGAGTCCCAGATCAAAATCTGGTTCCAAAACAAGCGGGCCAAGATCAAAAAGGCCACGGGCTACAAGAACGGCCTGGCGCTGCAGCTCATGGCCCAAGGACTGTACAACCACTCGACCACCACCGTGCAGGACGAGAAGGAGGACAGCGAGTAGACCCGCACGCTCGCATTAATACTATGGACGTCGTTGCGATTAAAAGTTTATATAGCCGCTGCAGTTATCATGTGGTATACGAGTATATTTAATTAATCCCCCTCGACCCCCGCGCTCCCTATCTCTCACCCCGTGGTTGTTTTGAAGATGCATTTTGTGCCCCTTCATGTCTCCTTCACACATCGCAGACTCAGAAAAGCCAAAGATTTTCATATGTTCACATGTATGGATTCAAAATGTAAAATTAAAAAGAAAAGAGACACAGAGAGAGACGCGAGCTCGCTGAACTTATTTCCCGATTTCTTTTTAGTTCACCCGCCTCACGGCGTTGATGTGGTGTGGCCCCATGTTTGCGGAGAAAGCCAAAATACTGCTGACGACTGTTATTCATTGTGCACGCCGCATTCATTTTCAATAGCGCGGCAAAATTACAAGGCAGACCAATATGACGGGACCTACTAGAAGAAGCGCGAGGTTGCCAGCATCCTCGTCAAGATGAAGCCCACTTAAACACACGCGCGTGCGCGCGCGCCCACACGCGCACGCGCACACACACACACACACACACGCACACACACACACACACACACACACACACACACACACTTTCGCCTTATAAGACCGTGAACAACACGTATAGAATGGTTTACGCTATAGATCTGACTTTTAAATTATTAAATTCTTGACGTGACGTTTCACTCATTTCTCTAAATAGGTCACACACGGATCTCAACTACTGCACGTGTGTGAAAAAAAACTATAACCATGAGACCTCAGGTACCAGTTTGATACAGTTAGAACTTAATTGGCAAAATATAGCATTTTTTTTGAAGAACATTCCGTCCACCGTCACCTGCACTCAATTCATATTGTCTTTTTAAAGCAAGCAATGACATTACGCCAGTCCGTGGCGCGTGTGTACACACACACACACACACACACACACACACACACACACACACACATATATATATATATATATATAATGTTTTTTTGTTTTGTTTTGGGGGCGGGGTGAAAATTTGAAAGCTCGTTTCCTATCATATCTATTTAAACAAGAGGATGCATAATAGATTAAATTGGTAAACGTAATTCTTTAGAGAAAGCTAAATTATTCGCGATTTTATTATTATGATTTTTATTATTGAAAGGAACAGAAATATATGCCTGGAGGCTTCAGCCTCATTGACAGTGATCTACATTATTTGTACTATCTGCGCTATCGGAATGTGGTCCGTACACAAATGATTGTGGATTATGTTATGATGTAATTAAGAGCTAACAAGCCTGCAGAAGTCTGCGGCAGAGGAGCGCCATAGACTTCACGGCCCTCCGCTTTTTCGGCGTCTTTAATTATTTCAAGCAGCTCGTGTTGGGCTCTGCCTATAAAGCAGCAATTTAATAAGCCCGCTCTGTGTTTCTAATTGATTTCAGTAATGACAAACAGGGACTTGCTGCATGCTAGTTTCTACGCGGGTTACTCGACTGCCTTTGAAATATAATTGATATTTCATCTCAGGCAACTCAGTGTTTCAGTCGCTTACTTGCTCCAGTGGGCTTTGCACCTGTAAATCTGTAGGCTGTTATATAGGATAGGAGGACACAAAAGGGATTCTTTTTTTTTCCATTCCTAAATGAAAAAGAATACCCCCACTGCACTATATCACTAATCACACCTGCACACGGCCCAATACAAAACCAGTATTAACAAATCGATATTTACAAAAATACTAGATATTTTTTTCAATAACTGCCATTTTTTTTAACGGTCTTTATGTTTTTTATGAGTTTGTAACTTCGGATCACACTGACCTCACCGTAGTTACAAGCCCAACAATAAATATATTGCTGGTTTAATGCATTTATTTGCATCTTACTCAAAATAGAGGGTGTCTATCAGATCACTTTATTGCGCAGATGGACAATAATGTGGTGGTCAGTGCAGTATATCTCTTGAAATGAAAAAAAAACCTATTTATTTTATTGTGTGTGTGGGGGGGGGGGTTGACAGCAAAATTAAAGTCATATTTTTTTTTTTTGTGTGGCTCATTGAAAGCCATTCGGGAGCAAAAGCGAATATTTGTCAAGTCACTAAAATGTACTAATTAATATTCATAGTCATTTTTCTTTCTTTCTTTTGCAACCAAGACAATATAAGCCCTCACAAATGGTTCTGTGTACGGACTGCATTGGAGCTGTCGTCAAGTGTTCACGTCAAGTCATAGGAATGAATTCGGAGCTTTCTGATTGGAAAAGACACGCACGCACACACGCACATACACACATACACACGCACACACACGTGCAGACCCATTCGTGTACACGCCCGGACACTAACGCGCGCGCGTTCGTGCAGGCCGTAATGTGCCTCTAAATTCAGTTTGGCCATCTGGCCTGCATGTGTGAACGGAGGTGAAAAGGCTCTTCACGGTCAGCCAAGCCCACAGCTCGAACACTATAATGATAGTCAAATTCCCTGCTGTGAATGCGGAAGAGGATCTTATGACAGTGTATTTAAAATTCATACAATTATGAAACACCGAAAGGACCCCCCTCTATCCCACCTTGTCATTTAGGGAAGCCAAGGGTTTATCTGTAAAACAAAGAAAAGCCAGGGATCGTTTGCATAGTTAGCTTAGTCTGCCTTGCAGGCACAATATGGATTTAATTTATATGCAAATGAAAGCAATAAAAAGGGGAATACACACTGGAAATCTCACGTTTAAAGGGGAAAAGAGGCTGGATATAGAGCGGGTAGCATCACTGACACAACTCAGCTCTGCCAATGAGGTCAATGCCGATGTTATATAATGTGCTTAAAGCTCACAGCAGGAGATTGCAGAGGTGCATCTCAAAAGAAGAATCTCACCATGACGTCATGCGGACAACTAGTTGGGATAAATGACACTCGAGTCTGGACGTGCATGCTCGTACCCAGAAAGCAGACACGCGCGCGCACATGCGCGCGTGCACACACTTACGCATGCGTGAAAAAAAAAAATAATAGTCATAAGATTTGAAGCCTTTTCATGGCTAATCCTGAAAACGACGATCATCTTCGACACCACGCTCGAAGGCAAAAAGAGTTTCCCAATTTAGCGTTGCCCACCTGACGAGGATGCCTGCTTGGAATTGATGCTCAGGTGGAAGAATTCCTGAGGAAAAGTTTGTCAAACTATGTCAGAGCCAGTATTTAAATAGTGTGGGATTTTAAAAAAATGTTTTTCTTCGTTTCAGCTGAGTTTTTATAAATTTGAAATTTTGTTTTTTTTTTTTTTTTTTTTAATGTGTGGAGCATTTGTCTTGAGAATATTTTGGGTTGGGGGGCCTGCTATTTCATTCAGTGAAACTGGTTTCAAGGCTGAATTTCCCTCAACGCGAATCTTCAGCCCACGTGATTAACTTTAATGCAGGCTGCGCCATTTCTGACCTGTGAGCTGGTGGTCACCGGCCGCTGGGGCGATGCGGAGGTACGGCGTGGTCAGCTGAGTCACCAGAATGGCGGCTAAGCGTGACACAGGGTGAGTAGATCCACGATGTCATGCAGCAGGTAGAGAGACACACACACACACACACACACACACACATGCACGAATACACTTCTCAAGTCTTAGAATGTTGCCTGCACGGCACGTTGACTTTTGTCTGCCTAAATTTGTATTTCCATATTATTATAGAGCAGTGTCACTACCTGCATATTTATGCAGGAATCACATGCACTTTTGCAGACACTGAGCTATGAGAGGTGACTCACATCGGCTCCATGGTGACATGTTACAACATGCGAGCTACTCATATGTACGATAACATCCCAGAGGTTTTCTTTTTTCTTAAGGTTGCGACGCCGCACAGTGATTTAAAAAAATATTTTCTTCTCTTGCATTAACAAATCTTTATTATTATTTTTTTAATAATAGCTGTTTTAACTCTTTCCCAGGATAGAAGTGAGGTTTAAAAAACGTTTTTCAAATGTTTTCCAAATCATAAAAACATTGGCATACTATAGAATAGCCACAATGGAGGTGGTGCAATAAAACGAAACATCAAAATTTCAAGATAACAACAATTCAAAAACCAATTGATAATTTTTCGAAGTGGTTGATAATTTTGAATTATTGATAGGCAAATAACCAGCGTTGACCAATTCTTACCCAATGCCATTTTTTTCCCAATATGCATTTATATACGCTTATTGCCACCCGTTCATTCAATTTCAGATAAATGTTCCATTTCATGTTTGTTTGTTTTTGTTTTTTTTTCATAATTCTCCTTTTTTTCTATAAGAATTGACGTTATAGTGAAAACTAACAGCATGTGTGAGTGTGCCTAATTCTGAAACACCGTTCCACATTCAGTCCGCACCATGATCAACTTTTCTCTGGACGGCTGTCATCATGACACACTCGCCTTCAGCTGCACCTGTCACCATGACACACACACACACACACACACACACACACACACACACACACACACACACACACACACACACACACACACACACACACACACACACACACACACACACTCGCGCACACGCGCACACGCGCACGCGCGCACGCGCGCATGCAGACATGCACGCACACTCATGCGCGCACACGCACGCTCGCGCACACACAAACACACACACGCACGCATGCACCCGCCCGCGCGCGCGCGCGCACACACGTAAACAAAGAGGGTGGCACGGAGAGGGAACCTCCCACAATGCAGCTGGGTGGCAGGCATCATTTTAGCGAGCTAAATCCAGATTACATGGAAGACTCAGACAGCGCCACTTGTTTACTTTGCCCTTCAGCGGTGATTGGAATGGGGGGGGGTGGGGGGCGTCACTTGTGTTTAAAATTCTAGCATTGGTTTTTGGGCCAAGAGCAAAGCCGTTTCCCTCTCAGTGTGAGGCTGCCTCTTCATGTCCTTTTCTAAGAAACTACATCAAAGTGAAGGCTGGTGATGTTTCGTTTTTAAATAAGACTGTGATGGATTAGATTGACATAAATCAAATGCAGCTCTTTGTTCCTGTGCAGAAAACTCTTGTTTTGGTTAGAAGCTACAGATTTCTTCCAACATTAAGCATAGCGTGTCACAGAGGAGGCGGTGCACTTAAGGGCGAGTTATTCTGGTCTGATTAAAAAGGAAGCGTCAGGAAATGAGAGTGCATCTCCAGCCGCAGCTTTGTTGGCAGACGCACAGACTTTGCGTTGGCACGTTAATCAGCGCGAGGAAAGTGACGTGAAGATACAGACGGACAGGGACGGAGCGAGAACTCATGT